CACATTTAGAACCTGAGAAACTTTCACGAATTCCATCAAATACTAGTACAGTTACAACAAATCCTGGTAAGGTGCATCTATTTTAATTCTCAATCTTTTTTCCCTCCTCTTTCGATTTTAACGTATCCAATTTCAATGTAAGAAACATTAGAATCTACTTATGATAATGAAATAAATGAATCGGAGTTAAGAAGACGAATAATAAATATTGAAGCTACTGATAGGATATCAATAACACCGGATATTATTAATACAACCGTTGAACCTGATTTTGTTGTTGAACAGGTAATTTGTAAAGTTTGTTAAAAAAATTACCTCCTATTATTTGACTAATTATTCCTCATTATTCACTGTTGACATTTATTATATAATATTAAAGAATGGACCATTTCATGAAAACTTGATAGCTGCAATTCATTTATCTTCATCTCCAGCTTGGATATCACGAATACCATATATCATTATGGTCATTTATTCACATATATTTGAAGGTATTAGCTGGTGGAAACTTTCAAAACTTGTTAAAAGTCATTACTTTATACGTATAACTTGTGCATATTTAAATAGCAAGTTTTTTATGATATATTAGCGTATTATTTACTGTTTGCAAATGCTTCATTTAATCACTATTTTACCAAATATATATATATATAGTTTTTTTTCTAGGTATACTCTTTAATTACTATAATTACTATAATTACTATAATTACTATGTAAAGAATCTTTAAATTGGCAAAAAATTGATTTATACATCTACTAGTATTCTTTATACAATATTTTAAACAGCAAAATTATAAGATTCACACAACTGCCTTTGTGCAAAAATGGAACATTGAAAATATATTGAATAAAGTATAATTGGCAAAATAGAAAATCATTGGATGTGAAAAAATGTTATTTCAATATATTCCAGAAGAATCATCTTTGTTAAGGAAGTAGTATCAAACTAGAATACTAGTATACGTATTATTCGTAATGTTAAATTTGTAACAAGGGTTAGCATCGTAATTACATATTGATCTACATATTGCATAAATCGTATTCTTGATATTGTTATAAACCACTCACTTTAAATGCATCAAAAAAATAACCCAGGACACGGCCGTATCAACGTGATATACGATCAAAATCGCGAAGTTATGAACGTGTTAATAAACAATACATATTTATAAATACTTTCTTTTTTTTTATTTCATACTATCTCTTACTACGGTATCTACCTATCTCCTTTTGTTTTTTATTACTTTTTATTATTTTTTTCATTTTTGTCTTTAAACTGTTTTTATTTATTTTTTTTTAGTTGACCGTTGGTTCCTAGTGTTATTGTATCTTTCTTTTTGTTTTTTGTTTAATTAAAAACATTATTTTAATTCTTTTTTTTATTTATTGTTACTTTTTAGACTTTAGGTTTTATTTGTTTTGCCGTTGGTTCCGAGTACCAGTATCTTTCTTTTTGTTTTTTTTTGTTTAAAATTACTGGTTCTCAATATTTTATTTTATTTTTTAGATTTAGACTTGGTTCCGAGTATTTTGTATCTTTATTTTTGTTTTTTTTTTTAATTTAAAACTTATCATTTATCAGTTTTTTTTTATTTTTAGGCGACCCAACCATGAGATACACCTCTACGTGGTGGTTGGGACGAGTAGGAGAATTAATCTTCGAAGCCAAGTAGGAGAATTAATCTCCGAAACCAAGTATCTCTATTTTTTATTTTATTTTATTATGTATTTAATTTTGTAATTTTTTGTATTTATAAAAAATAAAAAAATTAATAAAGTTATAAAAATAAATAATATTGTATTTCAAATAAAAAATTATAAAGTTTGTGTTTAAAAATAATATATTTTACAAGTGTTTATAATAAAATGTTAATAGATATCGTTATTAATAAGTTGAAAATTTTACGTCTCAAGTTAAAATATAACCAATATTATGCTTTATTGAATGTTTAAAATCGATTTATGAAAGTTAACTAGAATTGATTCTATAGTATCGAAGTCGAAATATTGGTCGACTTGTATTGCTAAATGCGGTAAAAATTTAGCTATACGTAGAAATTATGGCCGGTCATGCTTCTAAATCTGGAAAATCTAGCAAATATTCGATCGGAATTTATGAAAACAGCTGTAATTGGCTAGATATAAAATTACGGATAATAATTTTTATTAAAGTAGATAGTCATTCAATGATTTAGTTATAACCTGAAATGCCATAAAAATTTGGAAACCGAAAGTACGTTACAAGCCGTCATTCTCGCTGATCGCTTTAATGAACGATTCCGTCCCATGACTCTTAATAGGCCACGAGTATGATTTTTCTGTGCTTAGGGATTATTTCATACTCCACACTATTATAACGTCGCCTCAACCTTGTAATGTACTACTCATTGAATATACCTTAGAACTTCTTGCAGTTGCTGACGTGCAAGAGGCATATCTATTTTGTAAAGGACACTTTGAAATAATAAAAGATTATATCAAGTAAGTTTCGCATTTTATATATTCTTAGCGATCGTATTCTTGGCATTATATAAATTAATAAATTCGATAATTTTTCAATCCAGAAAGTCCAAATGGAGTCGTTCATATTCTCCAATAAAAATAATTACTAATGTAACACCTGAAGCGCGTTCAGTTGAAGACGCAATGAGAAAATTAGATGCAAAACAGTTAATTAATTCCGATTTTATTCTCATATACTTTGATGTTGTATCAAATATACATTTAGACAAAGTATTGGATGCTCATAGGTAAATTTTATACGGATCTAATGTTTGCATTTTATTCAACTGTAATTTTAGAATTAATTTAATTTTTATATAAAGGGCTCGAAAATCTGTTGATAATAATGCAATAATGACAATGGTATAAAACAAAAAAAAGACAAATTTACATGCTATATATTTAGAATATTAAGAATATTTTATATTTAATGATTTATATAGGTAGTTAAAGAAGCAAGTCCATTTCACAGGACAAGGTAATTTATGTTCTTGATTAAGTTCTGAATTGAAATGTTTCATTAAATTTGTAATATCTTTTTCAGATCTTTAGGTGAATCCCCAATTTTCGTACTAGATAGGAAAACTAATGAATGCGTTCATTGTGAAACCGTGGAACTCTATCTGCGTAAACGTCGCATGGTTATGGATATTGAAGTATTCAAAAAGCATGCCGATGTTCAAATACGTAATGATCTTATCGATTGTCAGGTTGATATTTGTTCAGTAGAGGTAAATAAATTGGTAAATGAAAAATTTTACTGTCACAACGAGATGATTATCCTGAATTTATCTTAGGTACCAGCTTTATTCACCGAGAATTTTTGATTATTAAGATATTCGAAAGGATTTTGTTTATGATATTTTGACATCTGATTTATTGAGGAAAACCATTTATTGCCATCTTGTTACCAACTGCAATAGTGCGATTAGTGATTGAAACCATCCAGAAGAATGTCACTCGGGTCACACAGCGGTTGAACCATGGATCAATCGGTCATCATCTGGGTGCTCAACTGGCGGTTGATCAGTGGGTACCCACGGTTGGTGCAAATCCGAATATAGGGATTTATTATTGTATTTGTTAATAAACTACAGGTGGGACAACCGCTTGGGTGTGCGATACCATAGGATTTATTGAATTCTAAACTAGGTTACCCGCCCCTAACTGGGTCCAATCACTACTCGCATTATACCTAGTCTAATGTTTATGCATTGAAAAACTTTCATATGATTCTGTTTAAATCAATTTAATTTTACATTATTTATATAGAAAGTTTTTTAAGGTCATAGGACTTTACTATTAAAAATAATCAAAATCCCTTTTTGTTTTAGAGAAGGTTATAATCATATTAACTTCTCTAAAACCAAAAGGAATTTTGATTATTTTTTATAATGGAGTTCTATAACACCAATAAAACTTTCTATATATTTTGGTTTTATTTATCTTTTATAGTTTTTATAGTTAAGTACTTTAAATTATATAAATAATGTAAAATTAAACAGCCAATCATATGAAAGTCTTTCTATGAAATCTAATAACCTAACCAATAACAATCATCATTGCAAGTGATGCTAACTTTTGTTATGTTTATAACTAATTTCCATCCATTGTGATGTCACCCGATATTATAAAATTTTTATTAAAAATTAATACGTAGTAAACCTTCCTTCGATAGCTATATTCATTATAATAAATATTCTACAAACTGCTTTTATATTGAGTCAAATTGAAATAATTATAGACTTTCTGTGCAGAAATAGCTAGGAATTCTCTAGTTTCTAAGTAACATTTGTCATTACCTAAAGAATATTGTGACTCGGTAAGACTAGTTTTTAATAATAATATATAGGACATTTCATCACTTCCAATATATCATATTCGCATATTATACATTTTAATATCAATTCTTTCGATTGCATACAAGTATGCACAATTCAATAATTGCATTGACTATTATACCAATTAATAAAATATACGCTTCTTCTGTCTATTTTTTCTTAGTTTTTTTGTATCTCCAATTGGTTTAAATTTAACTTGATGTTTTATCTTGTTTTTGAAGTTCAGATGACTCGGAAATAGAGTCATTTGTTAACAGTTATAATATACAATATTACGGTGTTAAAGCTATTTAAATTGCATTTGTACACACTCTCATAATTGCTATAAATTTGTTTCATTGCCTATTTCACTAGCATTTATCTCCTAGTTTGTAGAATTTCTTTTGAAAAGAGAATGGTATTCGTAATAACCCAAATAACAGTCATACCAGTTGCTATATGTATATCAAATGTATCTTATCGATCTCTATACAAAAATAATATAAATTGATTGGGTTGAGAGGCATGCCCTTTGACTAAAAGGCATGCCCCTATCATGTGGTATAGAGCTATTATATAATTGGCCAATTAGAATTAAAGCCTACTATTGCTAATTACAATAATATTGAGTGTTTGACAAGTCTCTGGACAGATCCTTTTTTTAAATCACTAAATACTATATAAAAAAACGCAATGATTAGTAATCATTATATAATAAAAACTAATACTAGCGGGAAAAAACGATTTACATAAGGTTCGTTTTTTGATACGGTACTCAACCAATTTTTTTTAACTCCAAGATCAGCACTACCGATAGTATTTTTTGCGCACAAGTAACAGTAATCAAAACTTTGCTTTATATTAAAAATTATCACGTGAACCAAATAACCTAGGTAGTTTGGTCACTACACCAAATCATGGGGTATTTTATTACGAATCTTTGATTATAGATAAAAATACTATTAAAACCTTATGTCATTATAATCAGGCAGGCTTATAAAAGCAGGATTTGAAAGTTGCACACCGTTTGATGAGTTGGCAAGGCTACAAGCACGTATTAAGAACTATCAAATTCTGAAATTTTTAATCACGACTTAAAGGACGTATACTTATTTCTGCAAGTGACACAAGCCCAAAAAGGAAATTTTCTATGTAGATCGCACGATCAGGTGCAATCTTCGTGTAACGTGAGTTCGAAGGATTTTTTAAAACATCACTGGTAACTCAAAATTTTGCCTAGAAAATCACATTTTATGTTCTAATAAAAGAATTTTTTGGCCGAATTTTACTATATAACCTTTTTTTTCAGTATTAAGGTGACCTCTTTTGGTCCTGACTTTTTATTAATACTTATATTAGACACATGTACATATAGACGTATCTATATTGAACTAGCAAATGAGTGTACAACTGGTTACACATGTAACTTTTCCATATTACTTATTTAAAATGTTCATCTGAAGGTTCCTCACCAATTATTATACCTAACGTCCTTGCTTAGATGTTTCATTTAAACTTTCTGATCTGGTCTTGATATTAACTTTATCAAGTCACAGACTCAGATCCTTTTGTCATTGATCATTAGGATTATAATTCTTAGATTATTTTTATTTTTGAGGTAAACTTATCAGAACAAACTGTATTCTTTTTTACTATTAACCTGATTTGATGTTATGATTAAAACTAATACTTGCAGTCAGAGTTATCTATTAAATTATTATTATCTTTATAAAATTCATCTAAATCTTGGTACTCATCTTTTCAATATCTTCTCTATTATCTTTTACTAGTTATAACTTAGAACTGACAGATTTCTCAAACTTTCAATTTAGATGGTCTGGTATAGTATATTTATGTATCTTTTTTCTTTAGTGATTTTAGGAACCTGGTTAATATATATGCTTCTCTCAGATATCTGTCATCTAGTTTATTTGACAATTTCTATGAAAGTGTTTTATATATTTTTATTGGTCCAACAATATCATTGAAAGTTTGTGTTATCTTTTTATTTACAGTAGGATTTTTAAGTGGATTTTTATTTTCTCAATTTTTTAGTTTTCTATATTCAGTAGTTTTATCATAAGTTTGTATTGAAGCCTTATGTGATACCAGTTTTTTTATATTCCTATATATACATATAATGTTATATTTCATATAAATGTTTTAAGTTCACAATATCAGATAGAACTTGACTTAGTATACTTAAGATTAAAAATGTCTAAAACCTAACTGATTAATAAGAAACAGTTATTGTAATATAGATATAATTTTCAAAATTTATAATTTATAAGAATTAAATATTAGACCTGCTACTTGAGAGTTGACAACTTATCCACTTCGCTAGATTATCACATTCCTATATAATTTTTTTAATATTAATACTGATCAAATATATATATATATTTTTTTTTGATATTAAGGTAATCTCTTTGGTTTTTTAATTTTTATTAATGACTTTTTTGGTAATATGATTCTATAAACTAATATAGGAAAAAGTACAATTAGTTACATATATAACTTTTTTATATTATCTATTTAAAAAGTCTATCTAAAGAGTTTTTAACAATTGTTATACTTAATATTCTTGCTTGGATGTTTCACTTTAAACCTTCTGAACCTGTAATCTGTATTAACTTACTGGATTATACTTAGATGCTCAGATCATTATCTCAATTTTAGAATTAATTTATCCTCAAGATAAACCTTTCAAAGTCTTCTGTACTTATTTTTACAGTTAACCTAGATATTACTATAACAGAATTAATATTTGCAATTAAAATTATATTATTTAATTACTATATTCTTATAGAGTTTACATAGACCTCAGCATCTACTACACAGTATAATTCTAGAACTTTAGTATATCTTTGCTTTTTTATCTATCTTTTTACTAAACTTTCAATTTAGATAGTTTGTATAGAACTATAATAAGTTCATCAATATATTAGAGTCAGTCTGATATCATTTTTCTTCAATTTATTTTAACAACCTAGTTGGTAATACTTTTAAAACTTCTAATCTAAAAATTTTTGTTTGTCTGACTACTATGACTAAGTATTACAACCTTGTTATCTGTTTTTTTAAACTAGTCTTTATAGTAGAGTTATCAAAGATCTAACTATCTCTTTATTTAGATCTTTTTAAATGAACTTCTTATTATCTAATTTTAATAAATTTATATAGCCACATAGACTTATCTAGTATTTGCACCACCTAATTTGTTAATTTGCATTCCTTTATATAACAAGTTACATAAATACTTCATAACCTTTTAGTTATGCTAATGCAATTCATATTACAGATTTCCTAACAAAATTATTAATAACAGTTGTCATAATATGAATATTACATAGGTGATTATTCAAATTTTTACTGTTAATGAAATTTGAATACCCAACCTATTACTTGGAAGGTTGATAACCTAACTACTTTACTAAGTCATCATATCTTCTGTCAAATATTATATACTTTTAGCAAAATAATAATTATTTTCTGTTTTGGTTTATTTATAGAAATAAGTAAATTCTTTAAAATGATGCATGAAATCTATAAATATAATTAGTTAATTTTGCAAATCTTTAATTTTTTATTGTTTATTTTATGCAATAAGTTAATGAATAGTAAACAAATATTTTATCTTTAAAATCTTTTTTAGATTTGTTTGTCTCTTATATAATATCAAATGTGTTTGTGTTTCTTTAAATTTGTCTTAATATACTTGAAATTTTGTTAAATATATTTAATATTTTTTTATTAAGTTTTTCTAAAATTAAAAGTTTATTTATTATATATTTTATAAATATGCATTTTTTTGTATTGATTTTTTATGATTTTTATATTATATAATACAAATTTGTATAAATTTAGACTAGTATTTTGCAAATATTTCTAAAAATTCTACAAGCAATTTGCTACTAAATATTTAATTTTATAAAAAATTAAAGTATGTCAAAAGTTGTATCCTATTATTATTCTATAATAAAATATTATTAATCTGATAACATTTTCTTATAAAAAAGTAAACAAAAATAAAAAAAACTAATATAAAAATATTAAAATATAAGAATAATAATAAAAGATATAATGTAAAAAATAAAATAAAAAAATAAAAAATAAAAATTTATAATTCTTGTTATATTACTATCAAATGTTTACAGTTATAAGTCTATATTAGGTTTTTAAAAATTATAAACTATACTAAATAAAACCATCTCTTTTATATTTTTATTTACTTAGAATATTAATAAAACTATATTTAAAAAGGTTTTAACTTAAATGTAAAAAGTTTACACAAAGACTAATTAGTCTAGAAACAGTATTTTATAAGTTTGAGACATATATACAAATTATATTTGTGCTGCAATATTATTTTTAATCTATATTATTAATAATTTTATTTAAAAAAATAATACTACTAACTGTTTTAGTAATTTTATATGTTAATCTTTTAAAGAAAATAAACTAAATTATCTATTTTTATAAAATTTTTCTTAAAGAAAAATAAAAAGCAATAAATTTTATATTTAGTTTTTCTTATAAGTTTTACAGTTATATAGTAGCTACTTTAAGTTTTTAATAGTTCTAGTTTAAGTTTTTTTATAATTAAATTTAAAAAAATCTTTTAATTTGAATGTTAAATAAAGAAAAAATTCACTTAAAAGAAAATTTAATCTTTTTTTAAACAACTACAAGTATATTTGTTTCTCAGTATTTTATATCTATTTTGGTTTTATTAACAACAACTTATTATATATAAGACCAGAAGTATTATTTTCTTAATTTTACTATAAAGTTTTTCTATAATTTAATTTGTTGTTATTAGTCAGAAGATTATTAAAAAGACTAAAATAATACTAATATATTTAAGTATAAATATTTGTATTACTTTTTTTTATTGTACAATATATTCTTTTAATTGAATTTAGTTTTTTTCAAAATTATATTTAATTATAAATTATAATTTTAGTTTTAGTTTTAAGTTTTTAATAATTTTTATTTCTCTTTATTTTGGTTCTAATATAGTTTTAAATACAAGAAACAAACATTATAGTAATGCAAGCTGTAATCAAAAAACTATTATAAAACAAAAGAAAACATAAATATATATTAGTAAACAAAAAAAACAAGAAATTAATAATAAGCAAAGTGGTTTAAAAAAAATGCTTATAAACTATTAAAATATGGCTTAAATTAAAAAAAAGTTATATAGTACTTGTAAAATATGAAAAAATATAATTTGAATAATAAAAGCAGATTAAAAAAAATGCAATAGCAGACATATTATTAGAGATAAGACAAAAGTATAACAGAAAGTTTCAGTTTGTTAAAAAAACTAAAAAAATATAAAAAAAGCGATATAAAAGAAAATATTAATAATAATAAAAAATTTATAAATAAAATAATAAGAATATATGCATATAAGATTAGTTTAATAAAGATACAAGAATTTAGTAATAGTTTAGAAAACTTGCAATTAGGGTAATTAAAAGAGAACATTAAATTAAAATATACAGAATACAAATTTTATACAAATAAATCATTAGTAAGAGAAGAAAAAGAATATAAAATAGATGCAAATAAGTGCAAATTAATAATAATAAAAGTAAAATATTAATAAAAAGAAAAATTAGATTAAAGAAATAAATATTATTTACAAAAGCAAAACTAGTTGCAATATAAATAGCAGACTTAGTTGTAATATATAATAGTAGAATAGTTATTAAATTAGATAATACTATAGCAATTGCAAGCTTAAAATAAAAAAGCTTTTATGTAATATTAGAATATAAAGCAAAAACAAAAACTTTAAATTAGTGACAAAAATTAAAAACATATGCAAATCAAAAAATATTAAGTTAATACTAATTAAAATTAATGCATATAGTAAAATAATGTTATAGAATAAAAGTCTTCTTAATTTTATTCTACAACAATAACACAGCACAGAGAATCCCTTATAGGTATATATAGTGTTTAACAGAGAAGTATAATTTCTGTTAGATGTTGTCAAGAAACTATATTCATCTCTAAGGCAGTTTAATAATTATTATATAGTAGTTTATAGTTAAAGTTATTTAT